ACCACTACACACTGTGTAGACATATATGATCTATAGAAACCAGAGGAGTTGCAGAATTCCAAGTTTATTCACAGATATTTACCCACTAGGGCCCATCCAGGCCCTAGTGGGTAAAAGGGAATAATGTCCTCTTTTAGGTTTGTGCTTTAGGGCTGCTGCCCTACTTTTCTTTTAACTTTTATTTGGTGCATTTTGAAACACGTGACTATTCTGAAAAATTACAGTAAATCCCATAAGGAGTGACTATTTTTCCAAATAAGATGCCGTCTTCTTTGGAAAGAAGACTTTTCTTCCACTATCTCTCTGCAATGTACCATAAGAAGCATAATAACCGCTGATAGTTTTGCATGCCTGAAACAATCAACCTTAAACTAAATCACCAGATCTCTTAGTGCAAACGAAGCCTTAAATGGAGCCATGCAAACTGCAAAATGCCCACTGTGTAATTTCAACAAGATACTATTTGGGTTAAACCTTCGACTAACTTCATGGCCAAGGTCGCATGTGAATGAAAAGCTCACGTCATGGCTGAGGAATTATAATACTATTAGTCTGTTTCAAACAGCAGGCAAAAACGCTAGGGATTCGTAAGACTGGATTCAAGGGAAGCTTTTCATTTGGAGGAATCTGCAGACTTAAACATCATCTTATCCAGGACAGGGTGGGTTAAAACTTAACCTACTGCAGCTTTGTAGTTTTCCTTTTAAGTTGTAACTCCACATAATCTGGAAATGCATTCACATGAAGGCTGGTAAATCCTTAAATTGCCTTCTAAAGAAATTGTAAAATTGTTAAACTCAACAGTAATAAAAAGATACAGACTCTTACTCCCTGGTATTGTCAAAAGTGACTTCATTTGTGTAAATATGGAAATAAAACTTGGCAAACAGCTCTGTTCAGCCTGTCAGACTTATTACCTTGAAGGTGTAATGTACTAAAGCAATCAACTGATGGAAAAAAAAACTAATGCAGTGTTAAACCTCCAGCTTAAGCTTTGAAATACAAATGCTTTTGAGAAATGGACTGGAACTTACCGGTTTTTAAATTTGTTAAAAAAACAAAAAAGATCTTGTTCTGGGTTAGAAACAAAAACATTTGACCTTTTTTGTGCTTATTGATCATACCAAATGCTAGTGGGTCATGGTATCAACACAACTCTTCATTGTAAAACTTGTTACAGAAAGAAGAAGATGGTTATTTTTAGGAATTGCAACATGTTGAAAATAGAGTCAGGAAGCACAAGGATGTAAGAAGTTTTTTAAATTCACTGTATTTTTCATAGAAGTGTAGGGGCCGTTTATTCACGTGGCCACAAAAGAGTGCAAGACTTTGGGAAATGACAGGAAGGCTTAGACCACAACAAAGTGACTGTTTAATCCTCCAGGTCTTTTCTCAAGCCAACAATGCATTTCTCTTTAAAGGATTACGGTAATGTGGGTGAAAGATACGACAGCATTTTTTTTCTAAACATTTGGTCATGTAGAGTGTGTTCAGAGACAAAAATATTTGACAGAGTATTCCAGAGGAAAACAAATATGTGGCTTTCTCCAGAGGAAAACAAATATGTGGCTTTCTTTTTTAAATCTGTTTCTTCATTTAGGTGAATCTGTCTCCTGATCTCATATTTTATGTGTTTCTGTCTCTCTTCACCTTTTCATCTTTATTTACTGTATATATCTCTCTCTCTCTCTAACTATCATGCTTGTATTTCCTTACCACGCTCAATCTTATTCAACCCGAGAGAATATTTCTCCACTGACAGGCAAGTCAGGTCAAAACCTATTATTCAGTGATGACTGGATTTTTCTGTGTGTCAAGGATAGGACATGAAGCACTTTGGTTATTTTGCATACTCTTCCTGCAGGAAAGTATCTGGTGCCATCAAAACAAAATTCAGCTCATTTAAAAAGTGCAGATATCCTTGCCTGCTCTGCTAGGTTTTGTGACAAGTGCACAAGACTCTGTGAAAGAGTATGAAAGGGGTATTTTCATCTAGCCTTTGTCAAGTTTGATGTTTCATTAAAAAAAATGTTAAAAAAATGTAGAGGAGCAATGATGTAGGACAGAAATAGCTCGTGACATAGTGTGTCATTGTTTAGCTAGACTGATAAGATTAATATTTCTTTCCAACATGAAAAGTAAAGAGAGAAAAAGAAACATCACAAACTGACAAATATTCTGTTAAATTAATGTTTTAAAAGTTTTTAAAATGTGGTGATCCTTAGAACTATTAGCTTAAAAAGTGGTATCGACTTTTTACCTTCGACTCGACCTTCAAACCCTGTGACCGTCTTTCTGACTACAGAAGTCAGAGATGTGAAGAGTTAATATTAGAGCTGAGGGCTTTCCACATCACACAGTGTGGAAATTCAAATTCAGCGTAGCCTAATGAGAAATTCAGCAGACCGCTTAAATGTGGTCACGTAGAGCCGAGGTCTTTAATCTCAGCAGCTCCCTGCTGTGATGCAAGGGTTTGCCAGTTGATCAGACCCATTATGACTGGCAAGTAAACAGTCCTGCACTACTCTTTGATCAACAGGTCCCACATATGAAGATTAGAGTACAACAAGACTGATGCAAGTGTAAATTAGTCAGATAGATTATTAATTGTGGGGGAGGTGTTACACAGGAAGTGATTAATGAGTGCCACTGAACAAGAGCCAAGTACAAATCTTGACTCATCAGTACTAAAAACCTCTTAGGAAACAAAAGCCTGAGAGGGATCATGCTTATCATCTGCTCCTTGGGTCAGAGTCACACAGAGCCACTCAAAAGAGCCACCCGACATCAGCAACAGCTGATACACATTAGAGTTTAAAGGGTGGTAACTCACACTAAATGCTCTGGTAATGGCACCAAATTCTTCTGATGCCGAAGGGCTTCCTTCTTGCCAAGAGATGAGGCATCATGCTGGCAGCAGAAAGAGAGAGACGGAGGGGAGGGGAGTTCCTTGACATGCTATATGAGGATCGGCTTTACTGTCAGTCAGTCCAGGAAATCTTCAGTTTAGACAGGTAGGTTTGTTTCTGGAAAGCAGCGTAACACGGGATTATCTAAAGTAAACTTTATGGATCCTCATCATTTTAAACCCACTAATTGGAGGAGGAAGATGAGTTGTTGACGTTCAAAACAACCAGTATGAATGATCCTTCAAAGGAACATGACGTCAAAGCTTTCCGACACTTCCTCTCCACCAAAAACCAAAAAAAAAAGAGGAAAGTCTGAAGCTGCCTCTGGCAATTAAAGGGACTCATCCATATCCAATGAGCAGCAATCACACCCTAACCACAGGCTTGTCTGTCAAACAGCAATCCCACTTCCATCTCTGAGGATTTTTTTCTTTTTTTGCAAAAGGAGTAATCTGTGCAATGCTATGCAATAATTCAATACTAACCAGAGAAGTACACCTTGCCTTGCAACTGAAACAAAACCAAAAGGCTAAAAGTAGTTTAAAAAATGCTTACTACAGTTAAATCTTTCTTCTAAACAGCTGATGTATGAGAACACCAGGCCAAGCAACAATCACGTCTGACCCACATTTTTCCAGCTCTCAGATTTCAACCTCACTATTCCTCTGCGCAAATCTATTCAGCACCGGGCTTGGGAAAAAAAAAAAAAAAAACAGAGAGAGAAAGAGACTACTTATCTACATCAGCAGCTTACCTAATTACACCTTGTAAAACGATTCCAAATAATACTTTTGATCCCAACTGCATTGGGAGCACATGCAGCCAATCCAAAGACTTGTTCTTGTCTTGGGCATACACAGCAGCTGGAAAAGTTTTCAAAGTCCATCTAACCTTGCAACATAATTGTTGACAGATCAACTGGAACTTTATGATGCGACAAGAGTTTTTGTAAAAAACTTGGCATGCTGGGCGCTTAAGACTTTAGCAGTGAGCCTGTGTCTGGACTCATAAAGTTGAAAGAAGAATGGGGCAATAAAGCCAATGACTTTCCATGTCGACGCTGCAGGTGCGTCCTACATTTTGAGTTTGGAAATGCACAGCCTAAAAATGTTGCGATATTCCAAACAGTGGACTTTATTTAGAGTGTCTTGGTTTTATTTTCAGATCAGATTAAGTAGAAAAATGGATGATGTGGATGGAACTTTAACTATACAATAGTGACATTATTTTAACGCTGAGCGTTTTATAACAAATTGAGTGCAAAGAAAACATTGTAAAGTACTTTATAATCTGACTTCTTGGCCAAAGTACTGGTACATTTTTGTATGCAAAGACATATTGGAAAAAAGTCCTATCCTACAGTAGCTGCATATATTCTTAGCATCTTCAAGTACTTGAGATCTTCAAGTTGACATCTCTTTATTGAGAGAATCCAGAACTTTTATTAAACTTTGTATAACTTTGTCTTACTTTGCGCTTTGAGGATAGAGTAATGTCCACAATAAACCAAGGACTGATTACTTTGTCTATCTGGAAATTGCTCTATTAAAACTCCAGTGGCTGGAGATTGCCATTCCTAAACTGAACAGTTTTGTTTCCTTAATTAAACTTAAATTATGACAGTCAAAGGTGTTAAAAAAATTTTAATTGAAGACTTCTTGGAAATAAAATTGATATTTGTAGATGACTGGATTTAAGTCCAATTTTAAATATATAGACAGCATAAATAAGTATTATTTTTGGTTGTGGAGAACTTTGCTTTGCTGTGTCGTATTAAAAAAAGAACTTAATAAAATATTTTTAACTGGCTAAGTGACTGAAAGGCAAAGCTAAAATATTCACAGTTCAGCAGTGAAATGTTTGATAACATTTAAAAGTCAAACAGAAAGTTTTTCTGAACGTTGCGTGCACTTTTAAACCAAGTTGTTTTTGTTCAAAACATGTTTTTTTGTTTTTTTGCCACAAACTGGCCAACAGATTTTTATCAGGCGTTCTGGACAAACAGAGGTCCACAGCTGTCCCGTCCCAGGACACCAAAGCGTGGAGAGAACAAAGAGGGGAGACACATGGACACAACTTTTCTTCTCTTACCAGAACGTGTGCGAACCTCTCCTCCAGCTCCCCCGACTCTGGCATGGGCAGTTTCAGGGGCATGTTGTGTCGGTGGTCGGTGTGCTGGTCAATGCTCCCTGCGTTTCCCATGTTTGCTCCTTTTTTATAATTAGAAAACAAACAGCAAGAGACCGCAACTTTTTTTTTCCTTCTTGTTAACTCTCGATGAAAATATTGGAAGTATATTCCACACGCCCTCAGGTTTTCTGCCTGTTTATGCGGCTCTTATCGGGCTTATCCAGGTCACAGTTTCTTCTTCTTCGTCGTCGTCTTGTTTAAACTAAAACACACGAGAGGTGGGCGGCATAATGCGACGGGTCCGAGCGGCAGCAGCGGAGTCCCCGAAGAGGCATTTTTTTCCACAAGGAAGAGACCTGGGAGCGTGACTCTTTCCACCTCTCCTCCTCCTCCTGGTATTATCCGTATCTTTCACAATTTCGGCTCCGCTCCCAGCCGACACAGATGACGACGGGCATGATTCACGCTTATTTCAATCCCCAGTGTGTCTGTAGTTACTGAGCGGAGCTGGCTTTCCTAATCCCTGCTCTGCTGACCAGCTAGTTAAGGAGGAGGAAGGAGGGGGCTCTCAGGGAGCCCTTTGACGGGGCCAAGCCTCTCACTTCATCTTGGGGCGTTGCTCCCAAACCCGTAGCTAGGAGACGATAGTTTACGGTGTTGCATTGTGGTAGTTGGAGTTCATTGAAAAAGCAACGTCAGAACCACAGGTCCTCCTTAGGAAGGAAGCGATTTATAGTGTTTTTTTTTAACATACAGGAAGCAATAAAACGTATCAAATGAACCACAAACCACAAGTACTAGAACTTCAAATTTCTGAAGTAGTTTGAATTAAAAAAAAATAAATCACTTTTTTTTTCTTGTGAAACATGTTTAATTATTCTATCTAGGCTATATGTGATTCAGTTAGTGACTCGAGTTACTGAAATAAATGAACTTTTCAATAATATTCTAATTTATGTACTGCAACAAATACCTATTTCATATGAAATATCCCTGGCTAAAATCTGATAGGCTTATTCCAAACCTATCAGACAAACCATACTAACATATTTTATTTAATCACAAATTTATTGTGAATTTTTTAAAGTTGGGTTGTCATATTTAGCCACGTCAGTTTTGAAGCACAAATGTTTAGTGTTGTGTTGGTACAAAACAAAATATTGCTTTATAAACATTGATCTGTGTTAAAGTAATTATTATAATTGCAACATTTATCTTTATAGGAATGTTTAGGGTAAACCCTTAGTTTATGTACATATCTGTATTCAAGGCAGTGACAGTGACAAAGTAAGGATTGCATTTTCCGTGGAACTCTGAAGACAGCCACTCCTCTTTTGTTTCTGTCTTCAAGATCATTCACATGCAATACAAAGAAATCGGATCTGTTGTTCAGGGTGGGGACTGGCTTCATGCTCTGCAAAGTGACATCAGCATGGAGAGATCTGGAGATAATCCAGAAGTTTTCCACAGGGACAGTGGTTTTATTCAGGCTGCTGGACTGATTCCACAGAGGAGGGAGTCACATCTGAGTTTAGCTCACTGAGGATGGGAAACATGCTGACTGACCTCATGAAATCATTGCATGTTCTCCGTCCGTATGATTTCTCCTGGCTGCAGTTCCTTCCCTGTGCGATGAGCAGGCCATACAACTAATGCTTAAAGTCCATAAAGGTTGTCAGTTTAATGGATTCAATTGACTTAGATGATGGTCTTTTAAAACATACTGTATAACGAAAATATATAATTTAACAGTAAACCTGAATCAACATTAAAATAGAACATATACTTTATTAAATATTTTCTTCAACTGTTGAATATAAGATTGTTAAATAGTTGGACTGTTGCAACTTAAATGTGTTAAAGAAATTTAAAGTTGTTGAAGAGATAACAATTAATTGAAACTGATATTTATTTCCTTTAAGTTTTTTGGAATATGGCAGTCATAATTTCTCATGGAGATATGATTAAAATTGTTCTTCCAATAAAATTCTACATTTTTGCCTTTTTTTCATCAGGGACAAGAATGCTGGACAGAACTTATCAGAAGATAAATATGCAATAATCCTGATAGAAAAACTACAATAGTCTGCAAACAATTTGAAACACAGGCCAAGGTTGACCTTCCAACAGGACAACAACCCTGAGCCTGTAAACGAGCCCAACAAAAGCCACAGTGTAATAATTTAGATCAAAATGGCCCAGTCAAAGTCTAGACCGAAATCCAATTGATAATCTATGGCAGGACTGGAATGTTACTCAGATACTTGGATTGAGATTTTATACTCTCAATACAATCTCAGCTTGAGATATTTGATAAGAAGAATGGGCAAAAAAATAAAATCAGTCTCTGAAATGAAATGAGCTGTGAAAGAATCAACCTAAGGCATAATCACGCCCTCTAATGCATCTTGTTTGTATTACACAGAAAAGGCCAAATCGATTTCATGGTGGACTTTTAAATGTTACATCCATTCGGTAAATAATAATTTTTATTAAGGTCCGAAATTACCATTACTGATATTTTCCCAAAATCAAAGCACTCCTACATTTTTTGTCTTTACAAAAAATATTCCAAGGCATTAAGTATTTAATAATGTGCAGTGGCATTTCCTCAAATGAGGTGTACATGCTTTATAATCCTTCAGTGGAAATGGATTTAAACATTTCTGCAATGAATGGGCAAAAAGCCCTATTCTTGTATATGATTAGTCATCACAAATGATTAATGGTATTTAGGTTTAGTTAAGAGTTAGTTTTTTCTGGTAGGACCAAGTTGTTCAAAATCCCCCTTTTAATATATGGAATGATTTGCAGTCTTTTATATTAAATCATATTTACTTTGATATAAAAATTATTTGAAACATTTAAGTGTGACAACAGAATAGTAAATATTGAAGGGGTCAAATACATTTTCACAGCAGTGTATAAAGATTTAAGGGTTAAGACACAAACACAGTGTAAAACTAAAGAGGGTCCTGGTGTGGCGGCTTCGTAACTCAAATTATACCCCAGTACAACCTGCACATAGGAATATTTAACTTTGTAAAATACCAATCTGCCCAGCAATGTCCCACTAATGAAGGTCAGGCATAAGCACAATTCAAGAGGTATCAAACTATATTTATTGTACACAGAACAGGGACAAATAATGTACAAATGATGAAAATCTAATGTCTCTACATGCTCTAAAAAGTTAAATTTAGAACACCGGAGGACATTCTTAAAGTAAGAAAAAAAAAAGAAAAAAAAAAATCCCAGTAATCAAACAATAAGCAGCTAACAAAAAAGATGTGATGAACTTTTTACAAACCTATTCAAAAATTGTCAAGACAGTTTGCATGACTTTGTATGTATACAAATGCACCTGTAATGGACCAAAAAGGTGAGCTGTTTTTCCGCTCTGAAAGTTTAGTTACATGTGACAAAGTCAATTTACAAGTGAAGGAAACAGATTTCCCTACGTACGACTAAGGAACCAACAATGTACAGTAGCTTATACATCTACAACCCTTAGAGATCCACATTTTTGGTCCTGCAAACCATACACTATTTAGATTGACTTTAAATATAATATGGATATTTAACTGTTTGTTGCACAAGATTTTCTCCTGTTTATGTTAAATATGATACATGGTTGTAAAAATGCTACCAGACATCAGAATCAGCCTCAAGCAGAGGAGAATTTCACACAATATCTTAACCAGTACGTCAATTAAAATATTTGAACCCGTTTTAAGTCTAAATGCTTATAACTTGCAAAACAGAATAAGGCTTATGATTCAAGAGTTTTTGAGCACATCTTATCACACAATCCCTCCTTTTACAAGATGTCCGATCTGAGGTAAGCCTCAGCTTCAGACAAATAGTTCATTTAGGAGAATAAAACACTTTTAAAAGGGCTCCCCTGCATTACTTCAGACTTAGGATTGCCCTACCCTCCATCCCCAAAAACATGAGCTTGGCATTAAGCCACGCATAGAAAAGGAAAAAAACAAACTAAAACAAAACAAAACAAAAAAAAACTTAACTTGTAGAAATAAACAATACAACATGAACAAAATCTGACATTACACCAATAGTCCAAATGCCACTTAGTAGACTCCTCCTGTTTGTTGCTGAAATACATCAATTGTGTCCTCATCTTCCATCTCCAGCTGCAACAAAAAGCATTCAGTCATAAAAACAAAGCATGCACAAGGACATACAAATCTGTTCAAATTAACAATTGTGAGGGAAGTTCAAATTCTCAGAATAGCTTAAATATACACAAACACATCCAGAACACTGCGTGTTTTATTCCAAAGTACAACTCAAAAAGAATAGCACCCCCCAGTTTCCACAGAAAACAAAGCAAAGATTTTCAAAAAAATAAATGAAATGGGTGTCTACATAATTCCTTTAAAAACTCAAAGATATAAAGGAACAATCTTGAAGTGAAATATTTTGCTGTATCAGTTCTTCTACTGGGAGACGCTTCATATATGACTTTAAGGGTCAATTGATTGATCAATCAATCAAGTGTATTTGTATCATACATTTCAGCAACAAGGCAGTTCAAAGTACTTCACATCATTAAAACACAGAATATACAATCATAGAAGACAGTCAACAACTGAAACATAACATTTGTCTGGTGGCAGTACTATACATCAGAATGTTTATCAATGTTTCATTTATAATGTTTCAAAAACAACTTTAATTTTAAATGTACATTTCTAACTATTAGAAGTGTTTTCACAGTAATCTTGTCTTTTAAACAACAACCAGTAGCCAAATCTGTTAACATAGCAGACATAATGCAAGCATACTTTAATAAAAAACTGGTTTTGCCATCAGCTTTACCATCAACAAATTACATTCAGTCTGCAATAATCCATTTAGCATATTTTACATATATTCCAACAAGCCGTGAGAAAACTGGTAAGTGTGATGAAACAGTAATGATGACACTAAATGTTTCTATTTCAATCTGGCTTTAATATGGCTTTTAAGATTAACTGCTGAACATCGACTGCACACCATTTTTGAGCCGGCGCAGAAAGAAGTGGAGGGTAGGAGTTTGCACTAAATTTTAGGCAAGACATACGTTAGATGAGCATACTGCATTGCCATTGTCAAGTAAGTGAAGGGACTGAAGGGTCAGTGGAGTGTTCCGGCCCTGTGTCCAGGGTCCACTCCAGTTCCACAGCAGAAATGAGGCCCTTGGCATCAGAGACCCCCTCACACCGACCGAATGAATAAAACTGTACCAAAATATCAAAAGGAGAAGCGCTAGCTTCTCAGCTCCCTGCCTCAAGGTGTCAAAATGCTGCCAACATAGTGTACTTCATATTGCACCATTATACTTTTGTTTTATCCTTGTAACAGAGAAATTCCTTCTTCTCTGGTTGTAGGCTATTAGCTGTACAACAATATAACAGTTTTACTAATTTAATTCTGAAGCAGAGCATTTTGAGTTTAGAAAATGCCTCTCTGACTGTAAAAAGTCAGTGAAGATGCACAAATCCAGGGTGTGTATCAGCAGTTTTTAGTTCAAAGCTCATTTACGTTTCCAGCAGTTAATGAATAACAATCAAACCTGATCGCTTCAAGGGTCCCCAGATTCCTGCTGACAAATGCTTTGCCTCCAGTTCAATAGAAACCCCTCTTCCTTATTTGCTTTATCATCATATCAACCAGCTGACTGGAAAGGAACGCACCCGAGAGCTCCATATCATTTAACTACCTAAATCTCTGCTTTAACATTATACCGACACTCAGGTTGTGTTTACTCAAAGTTAAATACATAATTATATAAAAATGCTTACATTTATTTGTCTTAGCATGACCATTAAAGATGCTTAGGATGGTTTGATTTGATATGAAAAATTTTGAAATTTGCTATCAAGACTTGGAGATTGACATAAAATAAAGAAAGCATAAGTATGAAAAACTAAATGTATCCTCACCTTATTTTTGGTTTCTCATTTTCTTAATTCTCCAAACCTAGTATTATTTATCTATTTTCTTGGGTCACTTCTCCCTTCTTGTCTCCGTTTCGCATTACTTACAGTTCAAGTAAAGTTCAAATAATTGTTTTCCTGTTTGCATCCTTAAAAAATCTCCCCTTACCGAATTCCTTTCATGTTTCCTTTAAAAGCTTACCGTTTTCTGGAACCATACATCATAAATTCGTAGGGAATTTCCACATTGTACATTTTAAAAATATATACAAAGAATGTGACTCACAACATTGGATTCTGTAACTGTAAAAATGGTTCCTCAAGACAAGAAATGGCAAAAATATTTCCCAGAGCTTCCCTACCCTTAAAGTTATTCTGTATGATTTCAAGAGCATTTAAGCATCTGGAGGCACTAAAGGCAAACTGAAAAATGGAGCCTTGCTTTCATCACAACGTGTGATGTTGGTGCTTTACGTACCTGTGCAGGTGTGTCTGTTTCATTGATCGGCTGTCCATCAAACCTAAACCTTATCTGACGAATTGAAAGCCCCTGTGAAAGACAAAAATACAACTCAAAATCAAAACTGAAACCAGCTGTTGTGATGTAAAGTCTGAAGTTGTAAGGGGGGGCTGAGCTTGCCTGTCTTTCGCAGTACGCCTTCATGAGTTTGCTGAGCGGAGTGTGCCTCTTGATCTTGAACTGGACCACTGATCCATCCTGACCTGCTACCTTCAGGTTGATGTGGTCGTTCTCCGTCTTCACTCCTTCCTGCAACGAAATCACTCATCCTCATCATCACGAACTCAAGAAGCAGACGAGCCGGGAGCGAGTAGCTGGAGCTCGTTTTTGTCAGATTTCGGCGCTGAGGGAAGGTTTCACTCATCTATGCCGCTTTCTGTTCATCCAGGGGGTTAGCTTAGCATGCTAGCCCATGCTGAAAACTGGCGCAGAGAGCCATAATGGCGCAAACGCTCAGGGAAAACGCAAACGATTTACTCCCTAACCATCGCGCATGCTAGTATTTAAGAATATAAATTATTTTAAACGCTGCCCAAAATGCGAAACTACAGCTAACTTATCAAAAAATATTATATTTGTGCGTAATGTGCGCACAAACCCAGAATATCCGCAAACCTTTGTTTTCCCCGTCTGCCCGCTTAAACACGGTTACCGCAGTCTTTAGCGCAAACTTACAGCGGTAATTATTAGCATTAAACACTGAACCAAGAGGCGGCTTTCCGCGGCAGAACCTCGGAACCAACCTTTGGCTTCTCCTCAGACATGCTGCTACTTTCTCCGGTGCCTGGAACAAACGTGGAGCCTGGTATCGGTGCTGCTGAGGCGGGTTGTTCTCACCTCCTACGGCCCGGCTATTTCGTCTGGAGCAAGAGCGCGCACCGGACAGAACTTCAAAACCTGATTCGACCAAACGGGATCACGTGTTCCCAAACTTCACGGGGCCGCGGATACGTGAACGCGTACAGAAATTTTGCGCACTCCCGTGAGAGAGCTGAGCCGGATATGACGAAATGCAAGACGTATCCCGTCTTAACAAAATAAAACTAGCTTCAGCCAGCAGCAGGGAGACTGCCTGGAAGGTGGCGGTAATTCACCTACAGAAACTGAATCATTAATCCAAATATGTAATATTGATTTAAATGTGTATGGCAAGCCTGCTCCAAATGTTAAGTTGACGTTTCACTTACTTAAGAATATATAATTTAAATAAAATGTATGTATAAAAATAATTATTTGGAGGAAAGTACAGGTAAAACCAAATGTTTTGTCACACAGTAAGTTACAGTTTTAATCTGTAACAAAACAAATTTTCTCATTGTCTGTTTTAGGTTAGTTATCTTTACCAAGGATGTTTTTATTTGCGAAATGCCAGAAATATTAAGTTTCCACTTTTTCAAACAGCATTTTTTTTAAATTACAAAACAACACATTTCCTGGATAGTATATTTTGACTCAAATAGATGTAAAAAATTTGTCATTCAAGAAATTATTTCAAAGTCAAATGTATTACTCTGCACTGCAGTACTGAGTAATTGACCTTAACTGATTGAATATTTTACAATGTTGTCACCAGCAAGACAAAAATGAAAAAGCTATGTGCAAATTCTGGTATTTTGTAAGGCCAAACTTAAAAACTTAGTACAAACTTGAAAAATTTGCATTCAGGTTGGAGTTATAGGGTTGGAAACGGGGCTGGAAAAGTCTGCAAAGCCATGTGCTAGTAAACTTTAGTATTTCTGATGACAAGTTTATGGAGATGATAATTTGATTTTCAGCAGGTCTTGACATCTATCCACACAGCCAAATGTAGAAATAGATATTTAAATGACCTAATTGTACGTGATCTCAGGTAAGCCAGGTAGAAAATCTGTGGAGTATCGTCATATCAAAGAATGAGAGAAACCAGAGCCAACAACAAAGGCATGCTGTTATGAAAGAAACCTGGACTTTCTTAATACCTCAGCAGTGCAACAGGTTGATCGCCTCCATGCTATGCTGCATTAATCCAGTAATTTGTGTGAAAGGAGGTCTGAATAACTATTAAGTGCATATACAGTACAGTGGATGGACATACTATTCAGAAGGTCACCATTTGTGGTTAAAAGAATCTTTTCTTATAACAGAGAAATTAACTTTAATGAATAAGTAGAAAAAAGCAGAGCAAGCAATTGTTTATTGTCTTTATTTTCAAATGTATTATTAGCTGCACAAAGATCTGATGAATCAAGTCATTAAAAGACTCTGATACATTTTAAGTCTAATCAAATAAAGTTTAAAATCAGACAAAATAAAAACCTGTTAGAGGCCCTTTACATCAGACCACAGTCGTTCTGATGCAGAATGAAAGCATAGCTGTTATAACACTGCAATATCTGTGAAATCCTTCAGTATCAATATTTTTAGCTTATCTTGAGTGACAACACTGTGTCATACAGCTTGTTTTACACATGGACAGAAAAGCTTATTAGTTGAACAATCCTTTTAAACAAAAATTAAGGGGCCTTTGTTTGTAAAACAAGTGTTAAGTAAAGACAAGGTTTCTATTTTTAGTTCGGATCACAGTGAAATTATTTTGGAAAATCACAGTTTATCAATAGGTACACGTATGACTGTATTTCATTGTTACTGGCATCAAAAAGATCCTCTTCACTGACATTCCCCCTAATGATCATCCATGCGGGCATAAGGATTTTCCTTCGCTATGCCTATTAAAAGACATAAACAAAGATTGAATTTAGGAAACTGTGCTAACTGCATTTTAAATAAATAATAAAGTTACTTTTAGCATTTAATAATGACAAATGGAAATTTTACGAAAGAGAAAGTTTCAATAACTGGAGAAGTCTAGTTCTGCCTTCATCCACTAGATGGAAACATTGACCAGTTGGAAAAAAAAAGATTTTTCTTTGTAATTTTCTTTTCATTATTGTTTGTTATTCTTCACTTTCTCTAACTATCTTTTCAAATATATTTTGCTGTGCTAGTCTTTCTTTTTTTAAAAACAGCACATTCACAATTTGTTATATCCTAAAATCCCTATCTGATATTTCCAAATTTCATCATCAAAAGAATAGGTCTCACCATATTTCTGTCTTATTTCATCATGCCTCAGCTGGATCTCTGTTTTCCTAAAAAGGGAAGAAAATCAAGGACAAACTGTTGAATGGCAGACAACTCGGACAGTTTGGATCTGTTTATTTTCACATCAAATTAATACGCAACTGAGTTAATGTGTAGAGAATATTTGAAACAAGAAACGTGTAATTGGTTGAAAACGATTTGAAATTCGATTTTGGCCACATGAAAATCTGGACAGAAAACAGGGATTGATCAGGTTCTTAGCAGACACCTACTCAACAGCCATTCACCTGGCTTTCTGACGGGCCTTCCTCGCTCGGGTCTGTCTCTCCACCCGCACGTCTTCTCTTTTGCTTCTAAAAAATGAGAAATAAATAAAAATGACTGTTTTGTCGATATGTTCAAAAATATTAAATGGTTTAAAGAAGATGTAAAATTCTTATGAGGTCCAGTGTCTTTTGAACTTTTTCATATTTTGTCAGCTTACATCCAAAAACTTTAATTAATGGGATTTTAAGCAATAGACCACACAAAATAATGTGTGTAATTTATCTCAATATAAATACAAATTTGTGAAAGTCACAGAACATTTATTCTGATGGGTGTTTTATGGGGCTAATATAAAACAGCACCATAAAACACAGCAGAAAGCTCCGCGGTGGGTTCGTGCTCCATTTGTTGAACGAAAAGACAAAACACAAAGCGTCTATGACATTTTTATCTGTTTGGGTAATGTGAAGTGGCCTGATGAGCTCTGATGAGCGGCCCTTACACTTTTAATATATCCTTGCTGCATAAACTTTTTCTGTTCAGGTGACAGGTTGGTGATAGAGCTTTGGAGAAGTATAAAGCGGTCGGTTGATAAAACAGGCTACAAACACAGATTTTATTTGTGAAAATAAATTACAATTATCTATACATTACTTTGCTTGTTGTAAATTCCCAAGTTTATTATTCAGTATGGTAAAATGTAATAAAGTTAAAATGTTTTGAATACTTTTCAAGGCACCATATTTCAGACGTTTTATTAGTGAGGAGTCGTCTGAATGAGTACTCTTGGCTCACAAAAGAGAAAATGATACTAATCCTATTAAGGAATGCTTCAGAAAAGGAGGCAGCTTATTGATTTTGACATTGAAAAAGTAATAAAATAAATAAAAAAGAAATCTAAGCAAATAAGCAAACTGTAGGGAAGTTCTTCTTTCATAACCCAAGCTTTAACAAGTGGTTGAGGTTTAAATGCAACAGTGAGGGAAAGCTCTTTGGAGATAGCGGTGTCAGCCCAGCCTCACAGAATAATAACCTATTGTGTCCCACTCACCACCACTCTGCCTCCTCCTTTGGTTATAAACCAGATTCCTCTGCCAGTGTGTTTCATGTGACCCACAGCTTACCCAATCCTCTCACACTTGCAGCAGCAGAGGCAGCAGACGAGAATGGCAATGATGATGACTCCAGCCAGTACTGACATCGTGATGATCAATATCTGGAAGTTGACTGTAAATTTTAAAAGGCGAAATGAAGAACGAAATGAATAAAATCCATCCATAAAAAAAACTTATAGCAATGTAAAAATGTGATCTCTGACTTGAGGGTTTATGATCACCTAGCAGGTTGTACTTCACTGATCTCAAAGATAAAATGTTTGATTTTAAATTTTTTGAAAAATAGTAGCAGCTCTTTGCAATGTTGCAAAATTTTAAACTTATTTTTCCAAAACTGCTGCTCTTAGGCTCAGATTTACACCAATAGCCAAATATTTCTGGAAATTGGTTGCTGACTGAAAATCTAGCCTCCATTTACACATGGGGCCCATATAGACAGTAACCTGGCTAAAAGCCCCGCCCCCAGACAGGATAATCTATGCCTGACATATTGATCCCAATTATTCTCTTTAATCTTTTTACATACATTTGTGAAATACCTTCTAAATCACTTTTTTATATGATGCATTGTGTATGGGAGTAACTTAAATCTAAAATGAAATATGGTTTGTGAAGTGATCAAGTTCAACAAGTGGTTGAATGTTAAAGGATTTCCATTACAAAGAAGACCAATCTTATATTATATTATAAAAGTCCACACCAAAATTGTGCTTAAGTTAAGTGTTAAAATTGAAGGAATCAGCAAATATAGAAATGTTGAAAGTTATATGGTCTACAAAACTCAAAGGAAACTTCTGCCAAGTAACATGCAGACACTTTTTGTATTTACATTCAAAGATAAAGATGATATAAAAAAACTGACAGAAATTATAAAAATTGAAACAGTAAAAACTGCATAAAAAATTTGACATTATTAACATGGAATATGAATCTTTGAGAAAGACGATACTGTTGGCAACTGGTTGAATTTGCTTTGTTGATATTTTTAAATAGTGAATTCAATTTATTTACCTTGTTGAGATATACCTGATGCTTTTTTTAATTTTATGGTCTTTGTTAATGCTTCAATTTAGCCTGTGTTTGAATTTCCAAAATGAATACATATGTGAAAATAAAATTACTATAATAAAATTGCACATACCTGATATTTACTCTATAATTCTTACTAAAAAAAGACATCACATGTACTTGCATAACATATGTCAAAACACAACAAACATATGCAAGGCTGACACACATCCCATTTTGCTGTCTTACCCCAGCACACCCCCCATCGTGCATCATTCAGGGGGCAAATACTGCTGGGGGGCAGGATGTTCTTCACTGGGTAGTCTACACATTGTTGGGTGGAAGAGCACCACAAGCACTGCAACAGCAAAAAAAAAACAACAACAACAAAAAAAAACACAAACATATTCAT